ACATTTTGTGCTAATTGCAGCACAGCTTGCTCAGTTGAATGCTGTGCTCTGTAGCCATATTGATTATCATTTAATAATTTATTTATGGACAGAAATGAGGTGACTCTGACAAAAATTATTTTTTCTAGTACTTTGGAAAGTGGAGAAAGTAGAGATATTGGTCGATAATTACTTGTCTCTAATTTGCTCCCCTTTTTGTGAATTGGAACTACTCTGGATGTTTTGAAGCATTGTGGAAATATTCCTTGGACGATGGAAAGATTGTAAATATGAGTGATTGGGATGACAATTTCTGGGATGATTTTTTTAAGTAGATTGTTACTTAAAGTATCATCTGACGTGCTTTTTTTGTTGCTTAAGTTTTGAACAATGTACGTTACTTCTTCTTCACTGGTGGAGTTCATATACATTGATTTACAGATTGCACTATTTATTTTTAATTTATCTTCAGTAACTATTTGATTTTCTAACAGCTTCTCTGTGACATTGATGAAGTATTCATTGAAAAGAATACTTATTTCCTCTGGGTCTTCGATGATTTTGTCGTCAACTTTTAGCTTATTAATTTCAAGATTGTTTTGTTTTCTATTCATTATACCGTTTATTATTTCCCATTTTTGTTTGGAGCAACTCTTTGCCTCTTCAAATTTTTGTTGAAAATAATTTTTTTCTGCCTTTCTCTTTACTGATGTAAAGTAATTTCTAAACTTTTTATATTTTTCAACATTAGCGGATTTTGGTGCAGCGACTGCTATTTTATACAGTCGATTCTGTTTTTTTGATAATTTTATTATTTCATCAGATACCCATGCTTTTTTATATTTTTGTTTCTGCCACTGCAGAGGTGCGTATGTGTCAAGAGTTTTATTGAGTATATTGTAGAAATTCAGGCATGCTGTATCTATATTATTCTCGTTTTTAACTGAATGCCAATTTTGAAGTGAGAGGGCTTTTTTTATAAAGAAAATGGATGTTTTATTAATTTTTCTACATAAAATTTGGTCATCATTGATAGCAGTTTTAAAATTTTCTACTATTGCATAAACTGGAAAATGGTCAGAAAAGTCTGATACTATGACTCCACTTTCGCAATGTTGATACAGGTTCGTAAATATGTTGTCGATTAATGAATTGGCGTTACAAGTTACTCTT